GTTTTCACACATGAATACACTGATTTATTCGTATAGTAGTACAAAATTCGAGACTAAAACTTAGAATTAGAATTTAGATTTAGACTTAGAATTTAGAGTTAGAATATTATACTTAGAGTTAGAATTTTAGAATTAGAGTTAGGATTTAGAATTTGGACTTAGAGTTAGAATTTAGGAGTGCGACTATACTGTTCGGTGTCGCGCAGAGAACTGCCGAAATTCGGGACTGCTCTGAGGTCCTTCGTTTCGGCGGCTCGGGCCTGCGGCGGCCTGGAGAGGGGGAACTCTCCGGAGTAGGGGCTCTCACCGTGGTGGGAGATCCTTAGGCGCTACAAAGCGCCACGCTTAGTTTCTAGGCGGAGTTAAGCGTCATGGCCGGCTTTGGCGCGCTTTTCAAATAGCGTTTAAGGAACATGGAGTAAACGAAAAAATTTATACGGCCGGACGTGACAATAGGCGGCATATCCACCAACATCCTCTTCTTTGTATCGCAAATCTTTGCGAAACGATATAACTTCGACGGCAATGTTCAATAATTCCTTATTACCCCCGAAATGCCTCAATCTGTACAGAACTCCGAGTAAGGAGTTTGAGATCGAATACGCGAATTTCTCGAAAATATAATAGTTATTATCCCGATCTTCTATCAGACGGGGCAGATATGTCTCCGGCTTTATCTCCCGCGATAAATTTGCTGCCAAATTTATGCACGTCGATATCAGCATTTTCTGAGCCGACATTTTCACTTGCACTTAACTCGCAACATGTGACAATAACACAAACGCGTACGTTCGAGAAACTGACAAGTATCTCGGACAATGTCGAAGTTAAAATGCACATTCTCTTCTGCACTGAAGTGCATCGCTCGAGCGATGTTATGTTTATATAAACCTCCTTGCTCCTCCTCTCTATTAGTTGTCAAATTTTTCCCACGAATAGAAAGAATTTTTAATGATGCCTTTTAGGTCTCGGGCGCTTCTTTAAGTTGAAAATTACTCTGATTGGTTAGGGCTTTTGTTTAAAGCCCTAAGTTTCGGCCAATGGAGAGTTTGTTGCTATCGAGTGAGGTTCATATTTTTATTACCCTCGCGGGTTTTATCTAGAGCGGATGTCGCGTACCAACGATCTGACAGGCGCAGGTGATTATTTTCTGAAGATTTTATTATTTTTCAAGTGAAGATTTTCCCTCAATTTTTATAACTTTCCGAGAGGAAGATGGCTTGACTTAGAGATCTGTCAACTAGTTCTTTTTTCTTTCCCGAAGGACCGTAAGTTGTGACTCACGATTTATACATTGGTCTGTTTGTCCCTCGGGATTGTATATTTCTCCCAATTTTACGATTTAGATCTCTCGGGTTATCTTTACTTTGCTTGTCAAGTCGCGTGCTTACGCGAGCTCTCTATCCGCCTGCGATATTTTAGATATCGCCTTGTGTTCTCCGAAAGAAAAGAATCGTGGAGACCGCAGAACGTAACAGAACCATACAAATACAAATAAATAATACAGTGCTCGGAATTAGTTGCTCTTTTCGAGCCGATTTCGCGAGCGACGGGGTGGATCTCCCCACTACCGTCGAGGCTCGACGGCGGAGTCGTCGTTACTCCGGGCAACGCTATATCTCAGGAGCGTCGCTAAACATGTTAAGTTGTACCTTCCGCCAAATCGTCATTATTATTACATAATTTATATTTTTGTTAAATAATAACTAAATATTAAGTTAATATTAAGTTAATATTCAGTTATTATTTAACAAAATATAAATTATGTAATAATAATGACGATTTGGCGGAAGGTACAACTTAACATGTTTAGCGACGCTCCTGAGATATAGCGTTGCCCGGAGTAACGACGACTCCGCCGTCGAGCCTCGACGGTAGTGGGGAGATCTACCCCGTCGCTCGCGAAATCGGCTCGAAAAGAGCAACTAATTCCGAGCACTGAAATAATATATAAAAAAAATCAGTGGCGGATGACGGTGCGGTGGAGCGGTGGTGACGGCACTTGTGAGCGGTGTTGAGGCGGCAAACGGTGGTAACGAGTATTATGACAGCCGGACGGGATTCCTGCATAACATAGAAAAAACAATATTAATTTTTATGAATTTTTTTCTTTTAATTAATACTTACAATCTCGGTTCCCTCGTATCTGACTCTTCAATTTCTTGGTCTGAATCTGTATCATATTCCGATGATTGCGATTTACATGACGTCGATGGTAAAAGCATATCCATTCTACCAAAATAAAATCTACATTGAAATAATTGACACAATTTTTGTAGCGACGCTGAAAACATGCGACTCGCTTGTGTCGTTTAGACAATCTGGTGCATTTAGATAAACCACCAGTCATTCTTAAAATGTCTTCGTGAATTTCCAGGAAAGCGACAACATTTCTTGTATGTGATTTTTTAACACTGAGTTCGCGATTTCTTAAATATTGAATGATCGAAGTCACAGAAATGTTTCTCGATTTTTCCCGAGTCGCCATCCTCACTTTAAACGTTCCAGTCTTTGAAAGTTTAATATTTTATTGTTCACAAATAGCACACAGACTCCACAATACAGTTTGATACAGATACACTCCACAATTGTAGCGTTTATCCCCCGTCAGTAAACCGCAAGGTGCTGTCATGTGATCACGCACAGCACGAGCACGTGAAAACAGATCGTTTACTCGGAGAAAACAATCCGTGCAAAATTTTTCACCAACATTGTTTTGAAAATAAAAAGAAACACTGCACATTACATGGAAATCGTCAATTGCACGAATTTTTTGCTTTCTCAAAATCTGCACCTTTTTCTTCTTATAACGACTGTGGCAACTGCTTAAACTGTTATAGTCTGAATCTGCCGAAACTGATGATGCTGATGATGATTCGTCCATTTCACTTTCCATTACTTCTTTAATCGCTTCTTCATTGTCTACTTCCATATCCTCGCCATCTATTATAATTACATCTTCCTCATTTGGGACAATAATAATTTCAAGTTCTTCCTCATCTGGGACAATAATAATTTCAGGTTCTCTCTCCATTTAAGGCACTTCTTCACTCCGCAAATATCATAGACCTTATGACATCGAGAACCCGCTTTCCATAAGTTTCAGTTTCTCTCAAAAAATCTCAACAAAGGACTATTATAGTGATGAAATCGGCCTCTACCTGTTTAATTGTTTACAAATTCAAGCAGCCGAACGTTGGCGCCAATGTGTCGCAATTAAAAAAAATTAGGAAGTTGTTTTCGCTCTCGTTTATGGGAGATTTTCCGCGAGGATACAAAGCTGCCGAACGTCAGCGCTGTTACACTCGTACCGCCTATAAATAACATTTTGACAGTTCGTCGCAGTGTTGGCGCTAAAATCTCAATTCCCTTCCGTATGTCAGAACAATAAAATGCCCATAAAAATGAGTTTTATAAATTTTGGAGTGCTTGGTTTTAAATTCGGACAGTCATAAATCACACAGATAAACACCTGCAAACATGCTTGGGACCTTCCCTCCTTCCTTATAAAGATAAACATCTGTCAAACATGCTTGGGGACCTACCTCCCTCCCAACGGCATACCCCTCTCGCCTGCGAAAACCCCCGCTTTGCGTGACGTCACCCCCCCTCCCGCGCCAACAAGATACCCTCTCGCCGCGCACCACCCTCAGAGGACCAGCATTAAAACCCGCCTAGTATTCCTACTAACAACAAACATTTCTATCTTATTATTCTATTAGGATAAGGATTAAAAGAAACATTGTAAACGCTTACTAATCCTCCTATTCACTTTAAAATATTGTTTATTTAATAAGGTATTAGAATTTACAAGGTTGAAATATAATTATATCCCTTAACTTAATCTAGCTGATCTAAGAACTAGTAATTTTAATTTCTCTGCTTGAAAAGAAAAAAACAAAAAAAAACAAATAAAAATATTTAATCTTTAGGTACATTATATATATTTTCCTTCACTTATATTATGACAATTTATATTTATACGGATACGCAGTAATATCGGCATCATAGTTATTAAGTGACTAAATAAGTTATTAACTAAACTATCTCGTTTAAGTAAATTTAACAAAAGACTAATAATTTCTTTTTGATAATTGCGAAATTAGGGTAAGGATCTTTTAATTAAATTAAATTACAAGCACCCTTAAAGTGCTATAATTAATCATAATAATCTATTTTAGAATATAAGTATGTTCGAAATTGAGAAGGAAATTAATATAATTATTTAAGTTTGTATTTTCTGTCTAAAAATCGATATTTTCTTCCGATGAATATGCGAAAAAACCGCGGAAAAAAGGCTCGCCCGATTTAAACAAGTAGGCGATAAATCAGGATTATCCTAACAAGCTGTCAATAACAACAACATTGCTCAACCGAAAGCAACGATTACTGCATTGATTACCGATGTAATAGACATGCGCCGTTCGATCACGTGGCTTCCGAAAGCCAATCGATCTCGCTATCGAGCATTTCGCGCATGTCAGGTACGTGCTTGTTTCGCGTAAATTACGGGGCCGCCAATAAAGACAGGCGCCCTCGCGTCACCTTCGAACATTTTTAAATAACCGAAATTAATTGGTGCAGTAAAAATTAGTGGGGCTTCAGTACCGCACCGATAAAAGAAGCGCCCACCAAAATTGCGCGGCTAGTCTCTCGAGTCTCAGTACGTACAACCGCTATTAAACCGCTTAGAAATCACCGCAATTATTACCGCACACTCACTTGGAAATCGATCTCGGCTTATCTTTTGGAACTTTTGTAAAATTACTGTATCGTTTAAATTGTGAAAGTAAACTCTGTGTTAATTATTAAAGGGTGATTAATTTCTTTCGGCCTTCAAATACGCGCTCTCAACATCGCTCAACATCGCTCAAATACTCGCTCAAACATATTTTTGGTCCTTCAAGCCGGATTATCAGTTCGTCGCGCCGGCACGCGTGTGAACATTCTTGAAGACGAGAGTGAAGTGCCTGAAAAAGAAATACAGTGAGTGTCACATCATGGATGCCGCTATATTATTAGATAGTCAGCGTGAGATCCAAGTTCGAATCTCACGCTCGGTCAAATACCTGAAGAAGATGGGCGCTCCTAACATCACATCCAGTGCCGTCACTACCCGCATCAGACTTCTTGATCAAGCCTGGGATAAGTTCGTCATCCAGCACGATCAGCTGCGCATTGCCCTGAAAGATAAGTTCAGGGAAAGTGATTACGTTACTTCAGGGCTCCATGATTTGACTGAAAATACGTACGTACAGCAAAGGAGCATCCTGGACGGCTACGCTGAACGCATTCGGTCAGCCTCGGAAACCGTCAAGCTAAACGAAGCCGCTCCTCGAACCGCATTACCTCGAGTCAGGATTTTGCAGTTTTCGGGAGCTTACTCCGAGTGGCCAACCTTCCGAGATCTCTTCCTGTCTGTCGTCGGTGATAACGCCACCATCTCTAACATCAAACGCCTGCATCATCTTCGGTCGAGTTTGAACGGACAGGCTGAAAAATTGATAAGTTCATTACCGGTGACAGGAGACAACTACGAACGTGCATGGACGATACTGTGCAAACACTACGAAAACGAGAGAGAACTCATCCGATGCAACTTCGCCGCATTCACCGCCGTGCCGAGAATGAAGAACGGAACCGCTGACGAACTGCATCGCATCCACAACGCTGCCGTCACAGTCGTCAACGCACAGGAGAGTATAGGTCGTCCTATTGAATCTCACGGAATGGACCTCCTAAACTATCTTATCGTCGAACAATTCGACGCACACACTCGAATGGAATGGGAAAATTCCATATCCGACTCCAACAAGTCACCACCGCACGAAACACTTTTGGAGTTCATGACGCGACGGATGTTCACACTTAACGCCGTGCATCCGAAGACTCTCAAGAAGAACTTCGGAGAGTCTTCACGAACGGCGAAGACACATGTTGCGAAGCACGGAACTGACCTTCCACAATGCGCACTGTGCCATGAAAAGCACCATCTGATGACGTGTCGCGAATTTAAGACGAAATCCGCTGCAGATCGAAAGGCCTTCGTTGAGACGCACAGACTGTGTTTCAACTGCCTCGGAAATCATTATCTTACAAAATGTCAGTCGAAGAAGAACTGCTACACATGCAAGGCACGTCATCACACTTCACTGCACGACGCATACAACACGGTCACCGCACATACACCAGAAGCCACTTCACTCGCCGCACTGCACAAAGCCAAGGAGCAGAAGGCTGTACTCCTCGCCACTGCTCGGGTGAACGTAGCCGATCGCCATGGAGCACCGCACGACGTCCGAGCACTGATCGATCAGGGATCAGAGGTGTCAATCGTTTCTGAAGCACTGGTGCAACGACTGAACCTGCCTCGATCACGCACCGACATGGCCATCTTTGGGATCGGAGGCGCACGACCAGGATCAACGCGTGGCAAGGTCACGCTGCACCTCACTTCGGACATCACGAACGCCCGGCTCTCCGTGATAGCGTTTATACTGCCACGCCTATCACTTCTCCAAGGCTCCACGTCCAGCACACCAGAAGATTGGTCGCATATTCGAGGACTCCAACTGGCGGATCCTCAATTTCGCGAGAACGATCCAGCCGAGCTACTCCTGGGAGCGGAGGTGTGCTCCTTAATTCTTGAAGAGGGTTTACGCAAGGGTGAACCTCAGATGCCAATCGCGCAGAAGACATCACTAGGATGGATACTCTCTGGAGGCTCCGACGTCGCATCCGCAGAAGAGCACCGTCGCACATTCCAGTGCACTGCCGATCACGAGCTACTCGAGCTGGTGCAGCAGTTTTGGGAACAGGAACGGGAGCCCAACGCAGTCACGACACTCTCCGCCGAAGAGCAGCAATGCGAGGAATTCTTTGTGCACACGCACACTCGCACCTCTTCAGGACGATACGTGGTGAAGCTGCCGTTCTCCTCACCAATCACTGCACTCCGCGAAACCCGCAAACCAGCTGAGCGGCTTCTCACAACGATGGAGAGGCGATGCCTCTAGGACCCTCGATTCGGCAATCTGTATTGCAACTTCATGACAGAATACGAAGACCTGAAACATATGACGCTGGTGACATGCTCCACAACTAGCAATCAGTCAACGTACTTACCACATCATGGAGTACTCAAGGAGTCCAGCGCCACGACGAAGCTGAGGGTCGTGTTCAATGGGTCGCAGCGAACACGAACAAGAGACTCTTTAAACGCACATCTCATGACTGAAGCAAATCTTCTGCCAGCTCTTCCTGACGTACTACTCCGATGGCGTCAACACCAGTATGTCTTCGTTGCTGATATAGAGAAAATGTATCGGCAGATACTCGTGCATCCGGATGACTGCAAATTCCAAACGATCCTGTGGCGTCATTCAACTGATGATGAAGTGCGAGAGTACCAGCTGAGAACGGTCACCTACGGTCTGGCGTGTGCTCCGTTTCTCGCCATACGGACACTCCGTCAGCTCGCAACAGACGAAGAAAAGCAGTTTCCTCGTGGCGCCGTGGCTCTGCGTCGAGATTGTTACGTCGACGATGTGGTCACCGGCTCAAATACGCTGAACGATGCGATCGCACTCCAGATGGAAATTCGCAACCTCTGCTTGGCGGGCGGATTCCCGTTGAAGAAGTGGGCAGCCAACGACGAGAGGATCCTGACTGGAGTACCAAGCGATCATCGTTTGCAGCAATTGCCACCAGCCTGGGAAGGAGAGCCATTCCACGCTAGGACTCCGCTGGCACCCGCAACACGACCAGTTCTCCTTCGTATTTCATCCGCACGCTGCCATCAACCACACGAAGAGAACGATTTTGTCCGAAACCGCACGGCTCTTCGATCCAATGGGGTGGCTCGCTCCAGTCGTGATTCGAGCAAAAATTCTCATTCAATCCACGTGGCTGCAAGGATTGGACTGGGACACCCCGCTGCCGCTATCCGACGCTCGAGAGTGGCAACGTCTTCTAAAAGAACTCCATCTTCTAGATCAGGTGCGAATAAAACGCTGGCTCGCGACCGGAGCAGATAAGACCTCGCTGCAGCTTCATGGCTTCGCCGACGCATCCGAACGAGGATATGCCGCCGCAGTATACATCCGCATCACTGAAAGGAACGAAACGTCAATAAGGTTATTGATAGCCAAAAGCAAGGTAGCACCCGTCAAACAAGTGACCTTGCCGAGGCTGGAGTTGTGCGCCGCCACGCTACTCACCAATTTGACGCGACATATCAAACAAACGCTCGACCTGGCAACATCAGACACGTACTTATGGTCGGATTCAACAGTGACCCTCCAGTGGATTCGCGGTCACTCCTCACGCTGGAAGACTTTCGTCGCCAATCGAGTCGCTCACATCCAGACGCAGCTGCCTAATGCACAATGGAGACACGTAGCTGGTCGCGACAACCCTGCGGACTGTGCATCAAGGGGTATTAATCCAAGCGAACTAATCAATCACGCTCTATGGTGGACAGGACCTACCTGGTTATCACAGCACGAATCGGCCTGGCCAAATTCCGAGATGGAGATCCGAGGAGACGACGTGCCAGAAAGGAAAGCCACGAGCTTGATGACTGTCAACCGGGTCATCGTCGAGCCAGAAATCCTGCTCCGCTTCTCATCTCTGCATCGCCTGCTACGGATATCCGCATGGTGCCGTCGCTGGCTGCGCGCTTCTGAGCCGACTCACACCGCTGGATTAACGTTGAGTCCGGAGGAACTTGACATGGCACTCTTTCGCTGGCTTCGAGAAGTGCAGACACTGCACTTCACGGACGAGATCACCGCAGTCGCAGCTGGACGCTCCGTCGCACCAAGCAGCACATTAGCCAAGCTGACTCCGTTCCTCGACAACCATGGTGTTCTGAGAGTAAGAGGTCGGCTTAAGAACGCCCTGCTGACACAAGATGAGAGGCACCCGATGATCATTCCAACCTCGTCGTGGCTAACTCGTCTGCTGGTGGAATCCTGTCACCGTCGGACGCTGCATGGCGGAGTGCAACTTACCCTGGGGCTGCTTCGACTGCGCTTCTAAATTCCACGAGGACGCACAGTTGTGAAACAGCAACTACATCGTTGCGTCACCTGCACAAGATGGCGAGCAACGACGCTTCAGCCACCGATGGGTAATCTACCCCGCGATCGGGTCACTCCGACTCGGCCATTTCTGCGCACTGGAGTGGACTATGCAGGACCCATCCTCATCCGGACGAGCAAGGAACGAGGACACCGCGCCTATAAGGGCTATATCGCAGTATTCATCTGTTTTTGGTCCAGAGCCATCCACCTCGAACTTGTCTCGGATTACTCTTCAGAGGCCTTCATCGCCGCTTTACGTCGCTTTGTCTCACGTCGAGGTCTCTGTACGGACATATATAGCGACTGTGGAACGACCTTCATCGGGGCTGACCGCACTTTACGGGAGCTCTTCGTCGCTGCATCCACAGAGGGTCGTGGAATCGCACGCGTAGCTGCTGAACATGGCATGCGGTGGCACTTTAATCCACCAGCAGCTCCGCACTTCGGCGGATTGTGGGAGGCAGCCGTCAAATCCGCTAAGTATCACTTACGGAGGGTGATAGGTGAAACCACTCTCACCTTTGAGGAACTGACCACTCTCCTCACACAAATTGAGGCCTGTTTAAATTCTCGTCCATTACAGGCACTCTCTGACGATCCAGACGATATTACAGCACTGACTCCGAGCCACTTCCTGATCGGCGCGCCGCTTTTCGCCATCCCGGAGCCAGTACAGGAGGACAACAGTGGATCCGCAGCATCACGATGGCATCATCTCCAGGCGATGCGAGATCACTTTTGGCGGAGATGGTCGGGAGAGTACATCCATGAACTCATCTCACGACCTAAATGGTTGAAGGTCGATACGACACCTCGCATCGGAGCACTCTGCATTGTGCACTCCGAGATTTCGCCTCCAAACCGATGGCCTCTCGCCCGGATCACAAAACTGCATCCCGGCGACGACGGGATCGTACGCGTGGTCACCGTTCGAACCGCGACCTCCGAGCTCGTGCGTCCGCTCGTAAAAATCGTCTTACTTCCCGACTTCACAACGGACGTAACGACACGCAACGCATAGACAGAAATGCACGACGCGTCACATCACTCACACACCTTTGCTCACGTTCATTCGCTACGCACTTGATTACACATCACATACGCACTGTAACCACTGTTCACATTCACACACATTATTTCACATCGAAACCGCGTTTCACTATTCTCAGCTGATCGCACCACACTGTCAACACGTGTTCATCGTTTCAGCTGATCGAGCGACAGTCCACGCGATAATCACGTGTATCTCGCCGCGCCGGCGCGCGCCTACCCCACTATCAATCGCGATCGAAAAGTCATAGCGACTTATTGTCAGCGGGTGACAAGGCGGGCGGGATGTTCGAAATTGAGAAGGAAATTAATATAATTATTTAAGTTTGTATTTTCTGTCTAAAAATCGATATTTTCTTCCGATGAATATGCGAAAAAACCGCGGAAAAAAGGCTCGCCCGATATAAACAAGTAGGCGATAAATCAGGATTATCCTAACAAGCTGTCAATAACAACAACATTGCTCAACCGAAAGCAACGATTACTGCATTGATTACCGATGTAATAGACATGCGCCGTTCGATCACGTGGCTTCCGAAAGCCAATCGATCTCGCTATCGAGCATTTCGCGCATGTCAGGTACGTGCTTGTTTCGCGTAAATTACGGGGCCGCCAATAAAGACAGGCGCCCTCGCGTCACCTTCGAACATTTTTAAATAACCGAAATTAATTGGTGCAGTAAAAATTAGTGGGGCTTCAGTACCGCACCGATAAAAGAAGCGCCCACCAAAATTGCGCGGCTAGTCTCTCGAGTCTCAGTACGTACAACCGCTATTAAACCGCTTAGAAATCACCGCAATTATTACCGCACACTCACTTGGAAATCGATCTCGGCTTATCTTTTGGAACTTTTGTAAAATTACTGTATCGTTTAAATTGTGAAAGTAAACTCTGTGTTAATTATTAAAGGGTGATTAATTTCTTTCGGCCTTCAAATACGCGCTCTCCTTCACGCGTTCGCTCAAACATATTTTTGGTCCTTCAAGCCGGATTATCAGTTCGTCGCGCCGGCACGCGTGTGAACATTCTTGAAGACGAGAGTGAAGTGCCTGAAAAAGAAATACAGTGAGTGTCACATCATGGATGCCGCTATATTATTAGATAGTCAGCGTGAGATCCAAGTTCGAATCTCACGCTCGGTCAAATACCTGAAGAAGATGGGCGCTCCTAACATCACATCCAGTGCCGTCACTACCCGCATCAGACTTCTTGATCAAGCCTGGGATAAGTTCGTCATCCAGCACGATCAGCTGCGCATTGCCCTGAAAGATAAGTTCAGGGAAAGTGATTACGTTACTTCAGGGCTCCATGATTTGACTGAAAATACGTACGTACAGCAAAGGAGCATCCTGGACGGCTACGCTGAACGCATTCGGTCAGCCTCGGAAACCGTCAAGCTAAACGAAGCCGCTCCTCGAACCGCATTACCTCGAGTCAGGATTTTGCAGTTTTCGGGAGCTTACTCCGAGTGGCCAACCTTCCGAGATCTCTTCCTGTCTGTCGTCGGTGATAACGCCACCATCTCTAACATCAAACGCCTGCATCATCTTCGGTCGAGTTTGAACGGACAGGCTGAAAAATTGATAAGTTCATTACCGGTGACAGGAGACAACTACGAACGTGCATGGACGATACTGTGCAAACACTACGAAAACGAGAGAGAACTCATCCGATGCAACTTCGCCGCATTCACCGCCGTGCCGAGAATGAAGAACGGAACCGCTGACGAACTGCATCGCATCCACAACGCTGCCGTCACAGTCGTCAACGCACAGGAGAGTATAGGTCGTCCTATTGAATCTCACGGAATGGACCTCCTAAACTATCTTATCGTCGAACAATTCGACGCACACACTCGAATGGAATGGGAAAATTCCATATCCGACTCCAACAAGTCACCACCGCACGAAACACTTTTGGAGTTCATGACGCGACGGATGTTCACACTTAACGCCGTGCATCCGAAGACTCTCAAGAAGAACTTCGGAGAGTCTTCACGAACGGCGAAGACACATGTTGCGAAGCACGGAACTGACCTTCCACAATGCGCACTGTGCCATGAAAAGCACCATCTGATGACGTGTCGCGAATTTAAGACGAAATCCGCTGCAGATCGAAAGGCCTTCGTTGAGACGCACAGACTGTGTTTCAACTGCCTCGGAAATCATTATCTTACAAAATGTCAGTCGAAGAAGAACTGCTACACATGCAAGGCACGTCATCACACTTCACTGCACGACGCATACAACACGGTCACCGCACATACACCAGAAGCCACTTCACTCGCCGCACTGCACAAAGCCAAGGAGCAGAAGGCTGTACTCCTCGCCACTGCTCGGGTGAACGTAGCCGATCGCCATGGAGCACCGCACGACGTCCGAGCACTGATCGATCAGGGATCAGAGGTGTCAATCGTTTCTGAAGCACTGGTGCAACGACTGAACCTGCCTCGATCACGCACCGACATGGCCATCTTTGGGATCGGAGGCGCACGACCAGGATCAACGCGTGGCAAGGTCACGCTGCACCTCACTTCGGACATCACGAACGCCCGGCTCTCCGTGATAGCGTTTATACTGCCACGCCTATCACTTCTCCAAGGCTCCACGTCCAGCACACCAGAAGATTGGTCGCATATTCGAGGACTCCAACTGGCGGATCCTCAATTTCGCGAGAACGATCCAGCCGAGCTACTCCTGGGAGCGGAGGTGTGCTCCTTAATTCTTGAAGAGGGTTTACGCAAGGGTGAACCTCAGATGCCAATCGCGCAGAAGACATCACTAGGATGGATACTCTCTGGAGGCTCCGACGTCGCATCCGCAGAAGAGCACCGTCGCACATTCCAGTGCACTGCCGATCACGAGCTACTCGAGCTGGTGCAGCAGTTTTGGGAACAGGAACGGGAGCCCAACGCAGTCACGACACTCTCCGCCGAAGAGCAGCAATGCGAGGAATTCTTTGTGCACACGCACACTCGCACCTCTTCAGGACGATACGTGGTGAAGCTGCCGTTCTCCTCACCAATCACTGCACTCCGCGAAACCCGCAAACCAGCTGAGCGGCTTCTCACAACGATGGAGAGGCGATGCCTCTAGGACCCTCGATTCGGCAATCTGTATTGCAACTTCATGACAGAATACGAAGACCTGAAACATATGACGCTGGTGACATGCTCCACAACTAGCAATCAGTCAACGTACTTACCACATCATGGAGTACTCAAGGAGTCCAGCGCCACGACGAAGCTGAGGGTCGTGTTCAATGGGTCGCAGCGAACACGAACAAGAGACTCTTTAAACGCACATCTCATGACTGAAGCAAATCTTCTGCCAGCTCTTCCTGACGTACTACTCCGATGGCGTCAACACCAGTATGTCTTCGTTGCTGATATAGAGAAAATGTATCGGCAGATACTCGTGCATCCGGATGACTGCAAATTCCAAACGATCCTGTGGCGTCATTCAACTGATGATGAAGTGCGAGAGTACCAGCTGAGAACGGTCACCTACGGTCTGGCGTGTGCTCCGTTTCTCGCCATACGGACACTCCGTCAGCTCGCAACAGACGAAGAAAAGCAGTTTCCTCGTGGCGCCGTGGCTCTGCGTCGAGATTGTTACGTCGACGATGTGGTCACCGGCTCAAATACGCTGAACGATGCGATCGCACTCCAGATGGAAATTCGCAACCTCTGCTTGGCGGGCGGATTCCCGTTGAAGAAGTGGGCAGCCAACGACGAGAGGATCCTGACTGGAGTACCAAGCGATCATCGTTTGCAGCAATTGCCACCAGCCTGGGAAGGAGAGCCATTCCACGCTAGGACTCCGCTGGCACCCGCAACACGACCAGTTCTCCTTCGTATTTCATCCGCACGCTGCCATCAACCACACGAAGAGAACGATTTTGTCC